ACGGAAGTAGGATTGCCCAACCTTCCTTCCGAGGAGTGGCTGGTGGGTTTGAACCGCCAGCCGTCTGGTTAGCAGGCAAGTGTCTTAGCCACTATGCCTTATTGTACCACCAGAGCTCTTATTGTACCACCCATTAAATCTCTAGGCCTAACTCATACTCTGGTTAAGCTGACCTCCTTAACACTGTAATGATTCTACTAATACACCTCATATTCTTTACTTTCTATGTGTTATACTTCTACCTTACACAGCTACTAATTATTATTTATCTACTCTGATAAGGATTAAAAAAAAAAAAAAGCAAATGTAGGCACTAGACTTCATTCTGGATCTGTTTTTAATCATCTTAGAAAGATCTTTGGGCTTTTGGCTCATCTAGCCTTTGAGGTTCTCCTGCCTTGGCCCCTAACCTAGTCTGCATTAACTATCACTAACAGCTTTAAGGGAGAATGGACCCTGTTTTTGCTTTCTGGAATAGTGATTCTCAAGCTCTTTTGATATCAGGAACTCTATATACTCCTCAAAATGATTGAGGATTCCAAAGAGCCTTTATTTATGTGAGTTAGATCTAGCTATGTTTACTGCATTACAAATGAAGTCTGAGAATTTTAGAAACATTTGTTTTCTAATTCACTAAAAGTAGCAATAATAAATCCATTAGTTATTGAAATAAATAACATTTTGATGAAAAATAAGTACTTTAAAAAAGTGAGAAGAGTGACATTGTTTTACATATTTGCAAGTCTCTTTCAATTTGTTGAAGTACCGTGATTAATAGCCTTTGAAAAACTGCACTGTCTGTTCATGGGAGAATGACTGTGAAAAAGTCAAGCATCTTATTTTGATCATAAAAATAATTTTAACATTTTATAGTCATGGCTTCCAGCAAAACAGTAGACAGGTATATAGGGTGAACACCAGGTTGATATACTCCTTAAACGGTCAATTATGAGAGAACAGAAGGGCAGTATTTGCATAGGGAGATAGCTCAGGGGAAAGGAATGTATAGGAAAGAAGGACACAGAGAAGAGGTAACTACAGGGAGAAAGTGGAAAGGCAGCTGTTATTTTGTGGGGATTGCAGTCAATGTCATGAAATAGAATGTATATGAACGCTGTATGGGAAATGAATTTGCTCCATAAACTTTCACCCAAATCACAATAAAAATTTGAAAAAAAAAAAGGATTTTGACTTTTGCACCCCCTGAACGTGTCTTAGAACTCCCCCCAGAAGTTCCTGGACTGTACCTGTAACTGAGATTATAGGTGGGGTCTGGGTCGAAGAGGATGAACTGTTTCACTTTGCCTTAGCTGTCAGAATTATTTTTGTTTCTGCACCCTGGGTTGAAAATCTGAAATGGTAATTAGGTTCTATATATTGTTGGAACTTACCAAGGAAATTGGTAAGTTTATTGGTTTTTTATTATGGACTCAGCCAGGAATCTTGCCATCATTTATAACTGTTTTTAAGAGGAAATAAGTTCAAAGTCCTAAAAGCTTTTATTGTTGTTGTTGTTGTTGTTGTT